AGAAATGGAAAGCCTTGTGAAAAAAGCTGTGTGAATGTAAAGGCTGGGATGAACCGCAGGAATGAGAGCCCTGTGCCCAGGCTGCTTGATTACAGGTCTGTGTCAGGATGGCCACTTACCAAGAATTTCTGAAGTTTGCTGTTTTGTTTTAGAAAGTGCCTTACATGTATATATATATATATATATATATATATATATGATCATATGCACATAGGCAGAAAAATATTCTAAGCTTGGCATTAATACTCCAGAACTCTATTCACAGCCTAACCAGAGCAATTTAAAACAAAAATCATCACTCTGAAGTTTTCACAACTAGTTTCTCCATGTGGGAGTGAGTTTTTTGTGATTTTTCTCCTTGTGGGATTTTTTTTTTTATCAAACTATACTTGCTTTAGAGAGTGATGTGATCTCATTCTGATAGATCATAGACTCCATGAAGGCGTATCTATTGCTGCCTGTTTACAGTGCCTTTGAATGGACAATAATAGCAGCTTAAATGGTAAAAGAAAATAATAAACCCATGGGTATAGTGTGAATTATGTTCTCACTTCAGATTTTCAATATTAATAGTGACACAGTAGTTTTTTGTGCATATACATACATATATATATATACATATACACACAGAAAAGGGTGTGCACATTTCTATTTACTATGGTAGTACTATAGCTCATGCATTGTGTGTGTGTGTGTGTGTGTGTGTGTGCGCGCGCACGCATGTGTGTTTGAAGTCAGGGTCTGGGGACTTCCTGTAGCTTTTTTGTTAAAATTGGTGCTCTACCACCTGGGCCACAGCTCCAGCTTTTGGATGATTAATTGAACATAAAAATCTCATGGACTTTCTTGCCCATGCTGGCTTTGAACTGAGATCCTCAGATTTCAGCCTCCTGAGTTGCTAAGATTACAGGTGTGAGCCATGGTGGCTGGCTCCAGTTATTCTTAAGCAGGATGTGCAACTCCTAGCCACCCAGAGATTTTGTAGATAGATGTTTTGTGAATTTGGATAGGGAAATTTTTCTAATTTTATTAGCCTTTCATCTAAATGGAGCATGTCTTGTGTTTACAAATGTAGGTACTAATGTATAGTAGTATCATGCACAGTATAGTATAGTATCAAGGTTTTAAATAAAGAGCCTTGGTTTCCTCAGAATAATGATTTTTAAATGCATAACTTAAATACAGAGACATAGAAAATAACCAGATATATACTTAATTATTAAAATATTGGAATTTAAAATGCTGTCCAGCATTATATGGAGATAATACTGTAGTGGCGAATTCATCACCAACTGAAGTCAAGGATACTTGCATCTCACTTCATGTCACAGATGGTTTGAAAAATCATTTAAGTATCACTTCCTGCAAATTGTGGTAATCAGGCTAATTATTTAATGGGTTAAAACAATCCGCATGCATTGCGATGTTGCATTTTTAATATCATATTTCAATAACTACAAGTATGATAGGTTACTTTATGAGTCCATGTGGTTTAAGTTATGCATTTGAAATCATTATGCTGAGGAGGGAACAAAGACTGTACTTGATACATTTAAAACCATTATTCTGAGAGGATTGTTAGGCTTCCTCAGACTGCCAAAAGGATTCATAGAACAACAGCAACAAAAAAAAGGGTTATGAACCTTTCCTAGTGGAAGCCCTAAGTAGTGAAATACATACATAAATACCCAGAATTGGGATTCAGGCCCTGCCACCAACTCCCTGGGTGACCCAAATGCTTCCCTCTTGTTTCCACATCTACCACATGTGCTCTGATCCTGCGTCATCTGGGTGGCTTTTTTTTTAAGCTCTTACATTACTCTGAAAATCAAGATTTTTGCAGCAATCAGTCCTTGCAACTGGAGAAACATTAAACGCAATTTCCTTTGATTTAAGAAGTACTTCAATAATTTTCCAGTGACCTCTACTTTGAGCTTTTCCAGCTTGTTAAATCACTGATTTCTATTTCCCCCCATGGAGAAGGAGAGTAATACACTTGAAGATAAATCAACAAGTAATTACTAAGCACCCCTAGCATGGCAGGCTACATTTGAGAAGGCAGTCCTCCTTCTGCTCGGAGTACAATAGGCTCAAGCCCTCTTAGAAGAGAACACCACAGTCAGTTTATCCTGCCTAATCTTTTTTCCTCCCAGCTTGAAAAAGACCCCCCACGGGACCATAGTTGACTTAGTGAATGAGCTAAACCCTCTTTTAACAAGAGAACCTTGAAAGTAACTTTTCTCAGCCTGCTCTGGTGTGAACAAAACTGGATCGTTTTCTATCATCAAATCCTCTTGATTCAGGTTCAGGTTCAAACATTCCTACTTTGGCTAGTGTAGTTACGATACAATTCTAACAACTCATATATATATATATATATATATATATATATATATATATATATATATATATATATATATATATAATCAAAGACCAGAATATCCACAACTCTTAGGATAGACAAAAAAATAATGGGTAGGATATTGGGCATTTCCAAGTAGAAAGATGATTTTGGGATTGCCTGGTCTGCCCCTCCCCCCGGTCCCAGGTCTGGAAGGAGTCAGCCTGGTTAGGCCTACAGACTCTGCTTCCCTCTCCCATGTCAGCACATGTAGCCAGTTTGTGGCAGCTTCAGCAGCCAGCATGATACAGCTGTCCCCCAGTCTTACAATGAGATTATGTCCCAGTAAACCTACTATAAACAGATAATGTCACAAACTGAAAATGCATTTTATGCCTAACCTGCCAGACACCATAACTTAGCCGATCCTGCCCTAAAGGTGCTCAGAATACTTATATTATCCTACAGTTGGGCAAAAATCATGTGATGCAAAGCTTACTATATAATAAAGTGTCAACTATTTTATTAACTTATTGAATAGCTATATCCCAAACCACTGGCAACACCTGCTGTACACTGTAGGGTTTGGGCTGTTTGCTTTTATTTTTTGTTTTTTTTTGGGTCCGGTCGTGAGGCCTGAACTCTGGGCCTGGGCGCTGTCCCTCAGCTCTTCAGCTCAAGGCTAGTGCTCTACCACTTGAGCCACAGCGCCACATCTGGCTTTTTTTTTCTTTTTGCTTATGTGGTGCTGGGGAATCGAACCTGGGGCCTCATGCATGCAAGGCAAGTGCTCTACCACTGAGCCACCTTCCGAGCCCTGGGCTGTTTCCTTTTGTGACAGGAGTTGTACCTCAGTGCCTTGTCCAGCATTTCCAGAGAGCTGTGCAGACTCACAGAGAAGCAGAACTTGATAGAAAAGGAGGAGCAGTCTGTTCTTTAAAGAACATGTAGAAAATTCAAGGAAAAGAAAATGGCATGGGGAAAAGAGTAGTTAGCAGTATATATTATTCTTCAGAGGATCTTGGAGGGGCCCAGTGCTCAGAGGAGCTGAGACTCGAGCAAACAACAATCTCATCTAGTGAACCAAGAACAACAAACTGCCCAAGGCTAGACTTCAGCTTATTTGCCAAGGCATGCTAAAGGTTTCCATTAATACACATTAATCCAAGCCACATGGGGATGGGGGGGGTCCACATCTCTAAGAAAGATGACCAAATAAGACAGTGATATGCGATGATAAACAGCTGTTCTAGTATTAGAAAGGCTATCCCATGCAACCTCCAGGATGTCCAGGTGTCTCCTACAGCATCCATACTAAAATCTACCCCTCATCATTACCCTTTATCTTTGTCTTTGTCAGACACAATAGCCTACTTCTGTTCCGTATACATCAGGCTGTTTAAAAGACCATTCCTTAGCCTGTTCATCCTCTTCCAGATGTGGTCCATGTAGACAAGTTTAGCTTTACAGAGTAGAGCCTAGTGATCAAGGTAAGTCTTGTGTATTAGGAGTTCAAACTTGAGATCATAACTTTTTTCTTCTTTAAAAAACATGTAACACAACTCCGATGTCTATACAGTTGGATGGATAAACAATATGTAAATATATATTTTATTTCCACATCCATTCAATCCTAATCAGTCAAGAGGAGTTGTGTTGAAGGACGTAATATAGGTACTAGGGTATGGCAGCCTTACAAATGAGAGCTTCAGATCAGCCTGGTGGAAGATGGCTGAGGTCTTTGTTCTTACCCTTCCCTTTCATTGGCCACATTTTTTTCTGAAAAGGAAAGAGTCGGGGCTGGGAAGGTGGCTCAGAGGTAGAGTGCTTGCCTTTCATGCATGAGTTCAATTCCTCAGCATCACATAAGCAGAAAAAAGCCAGAACTGGTGCTGTGGCTCAGGAGGTAGAGCGCTAGCCTTGAGATGAAGAGCTGAGGGACAGTGTCTAGGCCCAGAGTTCTGGCCCCACAACCGGTCAAAAAAAAAAAAAGAAAAGAAAAAAAGGAAAGAGTCTAAAAACAAACAAACAAACAAAAAAGAGGGACTAGAGCTCCTAAATCTGCATTGAGAACATCTGACATATGGCAGGTTCTTGGCGAACATGATAGCAACCAGGCATCTTTCTTATGAGGGGCTGGCCTGCAGGACCCTTTGTCTTTCTTTTTTTTGTTTTGTTTTTTATTGTGAAAATACTGTACAAAGGGGTTACAGTTACATGAGCAAGGTAGTGAGTACATTTCTTATCCAGCATTGTTGCCTCCTCTGTTTTTCCCCTACCATCCCTTCCCTCCCATCTCCTCAGCTTCACCCCCCTCATCCCCACCCCTGCCTAAATTGTAAAGTTTGTTTTTTGACATAGCGTCTTGTACATCTCATTGTTACAATGGGTCCACCTGTATCCCTATTTAAACATCTTGTTTTTTCCCTTCCCCTCCCCAAATTATACCAACATCAAATACAGTGAAAACAGGGGTTATACCGTGGGGGAGGGACATACAAAGCAACCAAAAAAATCACATGGTACCTTATAAATATGTTAGAAACAATAGCAAGAAAGAAAAAAAACCACTTGTATCCCTATCTTGGGGTTCATTTTGTTTAACATCATCTTATCTGAGCTTTTCTGCTTGTCCCCTTTGTATTTCTCGGCAGCTTGGACATGACCAGGAAGATCTTCACAAATACCAGGGAGCGGTGGAGACAGCAGAATGTGAACAGCGCCTTTGCCAAGCTAAGGAAGCTCATCCCCACTCATCCTCCAGACAAAAAACTGAGCAAAAACGAAACCCTTCGCCTAGCCATGAGGTATATCAACTTCTTGGTCAAGGTGTTAGGGGAGCAAAGCCTCCAGCAAACAACAATGGCTGAGCAGGAGGATATCCTGGGGATCTTCCCCCAGGCTCCCCACCTGTCAGGCCTGGAGGACAGGACCCTACTCGATGGCTACCGTGTTTCTTCACCTGGCCCAAGTCACTATGTTCCGTAGTGTGGCTTTAGCTGTCATCCTCTAGCGCAGTTTGGGTTTAGAAGTCACCTGCTGTGGACAGAGGTTCATGTCTCAGCATTAGCCCGATGAATATCTTGGGAGGCAGGATGTAAGGACACTTTAGGGAGCTGCAAAGAGGCTTGGAGAGTTGTTGTCCTGGAGCCTACACTCCCCAAGATTTCAGGCAGAACTTCCTGCTTCTGATGGGTTTATGAATCCAAGTTCTGCAAAACTAGTTTGAATAAAAACCTGAAAGTGTGAAAACCATTATTTTACTCAAAAAGTTTTCAGTAACAGGAGAGGGGGTTTTTGTATACCAAATCACAGATGAATAACCAGAATGTTTTTGTCAGAAGAAATTTAAAAGACATATTTTATCAAAAGCAAGTAAACATTATTGATGATGAATGAAAAGGAGGAATGAAAAGTGATTGATGGGTAAAAAGATAACCTCTGCAGAATCAACCCAGGAGACCTGTGGGAAAATCTGAGGAAGAAAGTCCCTCTGAAGGAGTAAGAATTACATGTGTGAGGAAGAGCTCTGTATCCTTGAAACTCTACAGAAGTATGAGGTGTTACTTGTGTTGAACCATTTATAATATCTCCAAAGCCAAATGCATTACACCTGTGAAAGATAGAGACTCGGTAATTTATGGATGAGAGTTCATGGATTTCTTAAGAAAAGAAAGTCAATTAAAATAAGTTAGCAAACCTTTTAGTTTCACACATGTTAGGAATTAAAGCATTTAGCTCAGCCTGAGAACCTGCCGTCTTAAGACCTGTAAAATTCAATTACAATTATGAAAACCCAAACATTAGCATTTAACAACACATTTAGCAAAGAGCTTAGCTTAAACAAAACACTTAAGAGTAAACAATAGAAATGTAATACCAGACTCTAATGAGCTAATACATTTGTTCTTTCCCTTCCCTGACATAGAACATTAACTCAATCTTAAGCTGGGAGCAGAGGAATACCCAACAAGTCAATGCAGTGGCATTTACATAGTACATCACCACATTCCATCATGATGATACTTGGACTCAGATACAAATCATCCAGAATACAATAAGGTCATTTTATGTCTCCGGGCCATTTTATTTCTCCAAAGTTCTGGACTATTACATGGGTTTTAAAATCTTCGGAGCTGTATGGTTAGGAATTTCTAGTGCATATACCGAGGAATTTAAATCTCCTGCCACTCTAGAAGAATTTTATTTATGAGAGGTTGAAATGAGGCCCCTTATTTTTGTGGTGAGAAGAAAGCCGGTCAAGTCTTTCACAATTTCACACCCCCCCCCCCAATCCCATAGCCAGGTTTTCGTGTCATGGAGGTCTGTCCAGCCTTTGCATTTGTGACACAAGTTTATTTGAGCCAGCAAGCTTTCCTTCTAGGTTCTTTATTTAACCTGCATTCAATAAGCTTCTCCACGGAACCAGTAAAGTTCAGGAAAACATAGGCAGAGACAAAGGGATTTATTCTTCCCCAAAATGTGCCTTTCTTTCTCCCAGCTTCTTTTCTCATCAGCCATCCTCCGAATTACTAGGTGATAGTTTATTTCAAAGTTTTGATCACAGTGGTCAGTTGGGTAACATTACCCTCTCATCCAGCATTAAATCACCCTTGACAGTATTTTTATAGTAGCTGCAGTTGAACATGTTGCTGAGAAAAGCCCAGAACATCTGTGTGCCTGAACATAGCATTCTGCTACTCAACCAGAATGAGTTCATGCCCCCACTGCTGGTCTCTGCGCCCAAAGAACATCTTCCCACACACATGTAACAGACCCTCAAAAGCCACAAGGTGACTGAGCTATCATCACCCTACATTAAAGGGACAATTGTTTAAAGAAATCCAGCAGTAAAACCTGTTATAAATGAATACACCCTTACAATGTTACTCTAAGTTATTTACCTCTTAAGATATTTATTTTGTCATCTTGGACTTTTGTGTATCACGTAGTAAATGAAAGTGACTGTCAAAAAAAAAAATTGTGGAGCTGGGAAGGTGACTCAGTGGTAGAGTGCTTGCCTTGCATGCATGAGGCCCTGGGTTTGACTCCTCAGTACCACATAAGCAGAAAAAGTCAGAAGTGGCTCTGTGGCTCAACTGGTAGAGCATTAGCCTTGAGCTGAAGAGCTGAGGGACAGTGCCCAGGCCCAGAGTTCAGGCACCATGACCAACAAAAAAAAATTGTCATCACAGGTGAACTAAAACCTTGACAATGTATGTCTAAGACTGGAAGCTAATTCAAAAACTACTCTAACACCTTCTTTGGTATCTGTATTTAAGGCTCAGTGGTTACATTAGTAAGAATTTACAGTTCAAATGCATTATAATTCACTCGGTGGCACATCTGTTTATGGGTCATTTGAATCCAGCAGAAAAGTTTACACTAACTGTCTAGCCTGGTACTTGAACAGAAGTGAGTGATCTGTTATGGACAATAGTGGACATGATCAGAAAGCAGGAATAAGCTTAACCATTGATGTATATTGACAATTTGCTTGGTTAGATCAACTCTTCTCATTGTTACAAAGGAGAGAACAGATCTAGAGGGTTTTGAAGTGGAAGCCCAGGTCACAGAGGCTAGGTCTCCTCACCCTAGATCCAGTCTTTCCACAGCTCTGATCAGCTGCCAAATATTTTGGAATTGAAAATGAACAAGTGTCTTATAATTTTGCTCTCACTTTTCCAAAAACTTTCAGTATTCTTCATATGGCTTTTTATTGAAATGGAATTTATTGTGCTGTGTAGAGCATGAGTAGATTGATCAGCCAAAGATTTTTATTTGTCCATGTGTTTTGTAAGTTTTTAACCACGGATTATTATTGAATATTTAACATTAATTTATTACCAATAAATATTTAAGAAAAGAGATGGTTGTTTCTTTTTTATTTCTTCTTTCCTTCCTTCCTTCCTTCCTTCCTTTCTTTCTTTCTTCCTTTCTTTTCTTTCTTTCTTTCGTTTTTTGTTTATTGGTTGTGGGGCTTGAACTTAGGGCCTACGTGCTGTCCCTGAGCTTTTTTGCTCAAGGTTAGCACTCTACCACTTTGAACCACAGTACCACTTCCGTTTTTCTGGTGGTTTATTGGATAAGAGTCTCAGACTTTCCTGCCCTGGCTGGCTTTGAACCCTGATCATCAGATCTCAGCCTACTGAGTGGCCTACTGGTAGCTACCGACATGAGCTGAATAATTTTATAAATTTACTGGACATATCTACCTCCTCTAATTGTGTAGTTACTAATCTGTAGTTACTAATCTCCCATTCCCTGTTTTCCAGGGCTCTTAGCTTTTTCTCTTTCTCATTCCCACTGGCACACAGCTTCCTAATTGTCCTTCTAAAATCACAGTTGTGGTCAAATCAATTCCACCAGACTGAGACAAGTACCATACTGCAACAACGTAGGTTATCTGCAGCCAGGATCCAGCATACCTTTCTCTTTACCTTTCATAAGTCCTACCTGTATTGTCCCATGCCAAGAAAATTACTTGGCCTGCTTATCCCCAAATGTACCCCTTTCCCTACTTCTGACTTTACTGTTATGTCCAAATGCTTGGGTAATATTTCCATTCTCACTTCTTTAACTTACCCTTCTACCTGCCCTAAATCATTCAGATACTTCATAGGTGATCTGAAACACACACACACACACACACGCACACACACACACACACACGCACACACACACGACCCTAGATGTCTACTCTTCAATCTATTCTTCTCTTGCTTAGATTCCCGTATTGGTCTTATGACCCTATTTCTTCTACCACTTTGGGACAGGGATAGTTTCTAATGTAATTCCCACCACAGCCATGCAAATCGCTCCTGCTTCAAAATATACAAGATTCTTTGTTAATAGTACTCTTTTGGCTTCCTCTAAAAAATGGCTAGTCATCCTGAATAGGCTGAATTTTCCTGAGAAACCAAAGCCCTGATGTTCTTAAAAGCTTGTTTCCCATAATTCTTATTCAAGAATACCCATTATAGGGCCTGCCTTATGAAATCCAGCATCTAAGAATGGCTGGGATGGCCAAAATAGTACAAGTTATGCACAACTGGCCTTGTCAAAGGCAGAAGATGAAAGGGACTTGAGAGAATGGACAGCTTAACTGCTGACCTGCAGGCCAAAGGTCAGTCAAAAGTCACATCCTTAGATTAAAAGGTCAAAGATAGGGAGGGGGTCTGAAAGTCCAATGGCAATGCAAAGTGAGGGATTTAAAGCAGGTGTTAGGAGAAGGAAAGGAATGCCAAATAATCAATGTCCCTAAAGGATTAGAGGAGGCAGAGGGGGTGGGCAAGTTCTGTGTGTATGTCTACTGTGCCTGTTATTAAAAAGCAAGAAGACTTAGCATTTTGTTTCCTTTTTATTGCAAATATATTACAAATTCTGAACAACACTAGTTTTTTGTGTAAAGTTTATAACACCGATTTTAAGAATTCAATATTTTTATTTACTTATTTACTTTTTGTCGGTCGTGGGGCCTGAACTCTGGGCCTGGATGCTGTCCCTCAGCTCTTTAGCGCAAGGCTAGTGCTCTACCACTTGAGCCATAGCACCACTAATGGCTTTTTCTGCATATGTAGTGCTTCTGCATATGAAGAGTAGAACCCAGGGCCTCATGCATGCAAGAAGGCAAGCACTCTACCACTGAGCCACCTTCCCAGCCCAAGAATTTAATTTTTCAAGCTCAACATATCCCTGATAGACTAAAGAAGGAAACTAATGAATTGTCTTTTATTGATAAATTTACAAATGCTGTAGGATATAGTCAGTGGGATCTCATTCCTCTCAGGAACCTAACAGGAAGTAAGAATCAGAACGCCAAGTATGGTGGCTCATGCCTATAACCCCAACTACTTGGGAGATGGGGATCAGAAGGGATCATAGTTTGAGATCAGCCTGGTGAGACTCCCATTTCAACAAATAAGCCAAACATACAGATATGTACCTGCAATCCCTGTAATACAGGAGTCCATAGGTGAGGAGGATCACAG